GATTTAATGAATTTATAATATTATTTTTGGCTTAATATTTTATTTATTTGGCTTTATATAAAATTTTAAAAAGTGTCCACAAACATATGATAGGCCACTGTAGATCATTATATTTTTAATAATAATACATATCACGAAATAGCAAAAGGAATGAAAATAAAATTAAAAAACTACTGGCCTTTTCTATCACAATCTTCCATGATTTTTGCATTTTTCGATCCGTCAACTAAATTTGAAATGTTTAATGAAATGGATCACCAATTAACTATAAGTCAGTTGACAGTTTTATATTTAACACATTATATTGATAAGGTGATCATATCATCTAAACAAGAAAGTTCATTAGACAATTTCTGTAAACTAATTCAATTAAATAAAAATGAAAATAAAACAAAGGATTTAACAAGAGATTTAACAAAAGAATTAGCCACCTATATTGCATTACCTCCAGAGACAAATATGAATCCGCTAGCATGGTGGAAAAATAATTCTTCCTGGTTTCCAACCATAGCTTCTATCGCAGCAGATTACTATGCACTTCAAGTTACGAGTGTTCCATGTGAACATGCCTTTTCCGTCGCAAAACATACTATTAATCTTACACGAAATCGTCTTTTAGAACAAACGACTAGAGCTTCACTGTGTTTAAAGAATTGGATGGAGACTGGAATTTTAAAATAGATAAAAATATAAAAAAAATTAGTATTATTATTATATTTTTATTACTGAATAAAATTATCGTGGTTATCGTTATCGTTATCATTCTACGTAGTATTTTTAATTTTATGATCCCGTGAAATCCAATATTGCATGTGACTACAGGACTCGGTCCCGAGTCTGACTTGGGACCAAGTCTAAATTAGAACTCGACTCCATGGAGTCGAGTCAGACCGGACCGGACTTTTAACATCCCTACTTTTCAAGGGCTTGAGATCACGGTTTTGCCCATGAACACTATAAATATTCTAGGTGCAATAATTTACGTTATATAAGCTATTTATTTGAAAAAATACTCTAATTTTATATTTTATTTTTTTGCAAATAGAGTAAATCCCACTGTAGCATTATTTGAATAATGATATTGAAGACGAATTTAGGACATTAAAAGAGCTATTCATAATTACCGTATTTACGCGAAATAACGCACAGGGGCGTTATTTAGAATAATGGCCCGAATTAAGCTTAATTTAGGCCAAAATTTGTAATTTCACCCCTGCGCGTTATTTCGCGTAAATACGGGTAATAGAATTTCAGCAGTTTTTTCAAAAATATTTAGAAAATTTATTAAGTTGATAAAAAATTTCCTATTGATATTCGATATATTATATTTAATTATAACTCGATGCAATTATAACTCGATGCAAATGTAGTATGCAGAAAAAATACAGATGGAAAATATAAATATGCAAATATGCAAAAATAAAAAGAAATATAAAAAGAATGCTTTAAGAATGAATGTATAACAATTGGAGTCAAACACATATCAGTGAATTACAAAATACTATAATTTAATATCCACCTCTATAATTATCTAATATGTGCCTTTAATAAATATATTAATAATATTATGTTCCTTGGAAATTAATTTCGCATAGAAGCGGTAAGATTATACTTCTTGGATTTCAAGCTTGGTGTAATAAATTGCAATAATTCTATTTCTTGATTTTCAATATCCTTAAAATTGTAACGATGTAGTAATGTGGCTATTGTAAGCCTAAGTTCCATCCACGCAAAGCTATTTAAATAATATTAGTATATGAAAATACCAAAAAATAACAAAAAAAATAAATAAATAAATTCAAATTACTTGAGCCCAATGCAATTTCGAGTTCCTATATATTAAAAATTCGGTTTGAATATCCATTTTATCATTAATACAAATGTTACTTTAAAAACATACCAGCTGAAAACGGGATAAAACAATCAGGCGTCAATTTTTCAGGTTCCAACCATCGTTCTGGAACGAATTCTTTAGAGTTTTCACCCCAATATTCTTTTGATACATGAAGCGCCAACGTATTCGTTATCACTAATGTCTAAAAAAGCAAAATAATTTTTTTAAATTATGCTTTATAATGAAGTAAAGGAAAAAGTGACGTGAAATCGGTTCTAACCCCTTTTGGAATGAAATATCCACCAAGAATTAAATCTTCTGTAGCCTCTTTACCCGGGCCTTTTTTAAAAATAACAAATGATTATTTCAAAACTTAAATCATATACTATATATTCTTTTTACATAAAAGATTAGTACGTATAATTACCGAAATCTGCATTAAGGGCATAAAAAATGATTAATAACTATGTATATGGTAAGCAATAAAAGTGTCAATAAAAAAAAATAAGAAAATACCTCTACTAGTAGGGAAGAGCCTAAGCCCTTCGTTAATAACCCCATTTAAGTAAGGTAAATGTTTTATTTTGTCATGGGTTGGAACTTCTTCACGGCCAATTCCTACTAAAGCCTCATCGATTTCTTTAACTAATTTCTCCAATACTTTAGGATGTTTGACTAACAATATCATTATCATTGTTGCCGTGAAGCTTGTTGTGTCGCTCCCCGCAATCCTTTTCCATAAAAAAAAAACAAAGAAATTAGAAAAACACTTAGAAAAGAAGAAAAACCAAAACATTTTTAAGAGTAAAATTCAAACGCTTACAGGAATTCAATACTTTGATCATATATTTCAAAATCAGTTAAACCATCTTCATGATTTTTAGTATCCAACATCATTTGTAACAAATCCTTTTTTTGCGATGATTCTTGTCGACGTTGCTTTAATATTTTGTTGGTGAACTGTTAAAATAATAAATTAAAAGTTAAATATATATCAATTTTTTTAATGAGAAAAAAAACACCGAAATGACCAATTACATCAATAAGATAAGGATCCTGCTTCAAGAATGGTTTGGAAAATGGAAATAGGCTTCTCTAATAAATGTGATTCCAACAAGAGAAAATGAAATTCAGTAACGATTATATGGATAAAGATTTTATGGATAACGATTTATGGATATGGACGAATATATTTAAAGAATACATACCATAACTCTCCTTCTTAGTTCACTAAACACTTTAGTCGGCATAGGATGATTTCCAGTTGTTACCAATTTAAATGATCCTCCAAATAAGGTCTCGCCAATAATGTCCTAATTAAAATTTAATTTAATCGCTTCTTCTTCAAATAGTTTTTTTTTTTTTAAAAAAAAAGGGAGAACAGCAAGGCAAGCCAGATAATGATTACGTATACACGTAAAAAATTAGTGACTAATAATCATGCCACCTACATTGCTGTTTTACCTAACCATACTAGCTATATAGCAAACGATTCAAACAAGCTCACCAATGCATTATACTGAATCAACAAATGAATATTTATATCAGCCTTGCCATTACCCTTAGAAATTTCACCATCAATTTTTGCGATTAAATCATTAATACAAGTGTGCATAAACGGTTCTAAGGATGATAGGTGTTTTATCGAAAATGCTGGTGATAGGACACGTCTCTAATTACATAAATAAAGTTTACTTTGTAAAAATGATTTATTCATTAATCGGAAAAAAAGGTAAAAAGTTCGTACCCTTCGTTTATGAATTTCTTTATCTCTGAGTTAAACAAATGAATTTTATTAAAAAACCCGTAAAAAAAATATATATATATATATATTCTTAAAGCAGAATGTCGACTTTACCTGGCCGTGAATAAGGTTGAGTATTTCTCATCAATGCGCAAACGTTCATAATTTTTATTTTTCGGTAATTCCTTAAAAGTTTAGATATTCCTCATGTTAGTATTTCTCATATATAACAAAAACAAATGCATTTAAATCCAAAAATTAAGCAGATTTACGTTTGTCACCAAAATCTTGATAAGAAAAAAGAGGTAAGAAAACTGTATCAGAAAATGAATCTTTAAAATGAGGCATACATGGAAAGAACAAATACCTGTTTAACGATATCCTTGTCAGAGAATACTACAGCGTCCGGAGCTAATATGAAAAGAGATTATGAACATAAATTTGAGAAATTTTATTTTGCGATACAAAATTCAAAATAGAAATTGAAAAAAAAGAAAAACTTACAAATACGAACTACCTTTCCGTATTTTGGAACGATTTCATTTTGTAACCATTTCCATCTAAATAAACATAATTATGTTAATAGATCAGCTAATAATCTAGCATTTCTCATTTCTTAACTTCAAACATATATACCTTTGTCCATTAATTTGCTTTACGCCAATATAAAATTTTGTTAAATGAGAGACTTTAGGACCTGGAATCTTACTAAGCGGACCAAAATACGCTATGTATATTGTCTTAATTTCAAAGTAACATGTTAATTAATATGTCTTTGCAATTTATTTTATTTATAATTTCTATATATATATATACATATCATATACATACATCATAAACAAATTTCAATACATAGATTAATGCGAATATCTCAACTATTCTAATCAAATCTTGTATAGAAATTGCAAAATTCATTTTCGTACTAATAAAAAAAACCATTAGGTTGAAAGATCCTATTTATACTATATACAACGAAATACGTAAAATGTTTTGGTACATTTAACATGTAACGATTATAAAATCGGTCTTACCAAAAATGGAAATTTTTTATTCATAAATGCATGCAACCTTTATTTCTTTCTTCTTCATTAACCCATTATAACAATTTGCCATCTCTTTGTTGAGTCATTGTAATCATTACGTATAATTAACATCATTGCATTGTTCAGGTACAGTAAACGCATTTACTAACAAAAATTACTAATTGAAAATACCTATTGATTGAATAATAAAAAAAAAACCGTCCTTGTCTTAATCTTCTAAGACCGTAAGATACCTAAAGCTCTGTTGTTCGAAAATAAGACATAGGACAGTCAAGTTATATTTGGAATAGTGGTCTGCGTAAATGGTTTTTGATGACTAAAATATTTGATTTTATTCGTTTAATTTTATTAATTTATTAATGCTCTAAAAAATTTTAAAACCGTAAAAGAAAA